TGGGGGGTGGGGGGGGCGGGGAACCTAAAGCTCCTGGTTCCCAGTTTGGGGCACCCTCCGGATGAAAGGTGTTACCATAGCACAGTGGTTAAAAGCCGCCTGAATGCAAACTGGGCTCTCCCTCTTCTAAGCTCTTTGGCTAAGTGACTTCACCTTCTTGAGCCTCCCGTTTCTTTATCTGGAAAATGACATCATAGTTCCTATCTCATAGAATCACTGAGAGGATAAAGTACATACCTAAGAACACTTAGCACAGGGCCTGATAAACGGCAGACCTGGAATAACGGGTGATTGTTACTTGCATTACATGTGCCTCCCTTTGGTTAGGGCATTTAGAACAGATTATAAACTTATCTAGAGAGCTGGGGGTTTCTTCCACGGGTCTGAGTAACTCATTGTATCGGCTCACCCACCACAGCCCCAAGGCCAGGTCTAGCCCCCTCCTGCCTGGGTCTCTTGGGCCCCCTGACTGTCTTGCCACCCCTACTCCCCTCAGGTAGCCTCCCTTTCTGTGCAAAGCCCTTCAATGGCTCCCCGGTGCCCCCAGGACAGTCCACCTTCCTCCACGTGGCGCCCGTGCTCTGTGTGATCTGGCTCCGGTCCACCTGGGGAACCCCATGTGTACTACCTGCCCCCCACCATCCTGTTAAAGAAATATTTGCAGATGCCTGAAAAGCACACCTTTCCATTTCGGCCCGCACCTCTGAACAGTTTGTTTACTCCCCTCATCGCATACCCCTGCACCTACAGGATAGCTCTCGGGGTCCCCTTCTCCAGGCAGGCCCCACTAACACCTCCCCCGCCAGCCTTGGCCTTGTGATCCCTCACGACTCCCTCATTACAGCGCTGTCACTGGTGAGGGAGGGATCTGTCTCTGCCGCTGGACTAGGTGCCTGTGAGGGCAGGATCTCTCTTCTTTGGTGAAGGCACACCACTGAACAGGTCTAAGTAGGGGGCTGAAGCACTCAGGCTGTTTGACCTTGAGGAAATGGGAAACCCCAAGAGGAGATGGCAGAAGTGATCTGCGGACGGGTGGTTCGGTGAGACCCTACCGGTCCTTCTGCAGTTTCAGGAGCCTCTTCACGTCATCTCTGCTCCTGGGGACTGGGCCGGCCTTCTCTAAAGCCTCCTTCAGGAGCTGGCTCTTCTCTAGACCGAAGACATGAGGGGGAGCCGGCCCCCCAACGGCGGGTGGAGGCGGCAATGGGGGTGGTGGGGGAATAGGGGCCTGGAGACTGGAGGCAGGGGGCAGCAAAGCTAAATTGGGCAGGTCTGGGGGCAGAGAAAGAAGTGGAGGGACGGGCCCTTGGGGAACAGGGATTCCTGGAGAAGGGGCTGGGGGCTCTAGGGGAGGAGAGCGTGGAGAACTCATTTTTGGGTCTCCTACGGCATGCATAGCCTGGAAGATTTGAGGATGGGAGAGGGATGGATCCTCTAAAAGGAGTTAATCGCAGGGATGGAAGTTCTGAAAGTTTTACAGTGGAGTTCCAGAACTTGGGTGCCGAGCAGTCGGATTAAAAGGGTCAGGACTGACACGTGGAACTAGGGGAGCAGGGGTTAGGCTGACCCGTATCATCAGAGATCTAACAGTTAACAGGGAGTGGTCTTTTATCCGGGAATAGATTTGTGGTTTGGGGTTGCTTTGCCAGGCTCAAGGAGGGTAATTTAGTAAAAGTTACGGTATCATCCCGGGCCAGGTCTGGAAACTCGGGAGTCAGTTTTGGGAAAACAAAGGATAGGACCTGGGGCGAGGCCCTACGGGGTGAGACTTCGGGGCCCAGGGCTAGAGACTAGGGAATTTAGGCTCTGTAACCCCTCACATTCCAGGCCCGGGTTCGGAACCTTCAAGCTGACCTTTGAATCAGAGGTCAAGAGATCAAAAGGACACCCGGCAGGGAGAATGGCTTAGTCGTAGAGAAGGTCCTGGAATCAGAGCGCAAAAGGAAAAGTCCCGTGGGCTGGGGAAGGTTCAGGGATCGGAGGACGTTGTGAGCCGCAACACCGCCGGGATAGGTAGTGGAGCCTGAAAATAAAACGCTCCTCCTCTTCCAGCAAAATGGTGGCCGCAGCACACATTTTTTCCCATATCACGTGGTAGTACTCGCGACCCGTGTCCGGCCCAGTGGCGTCACGTGACGAGAGAAGGCAGGGCGGTGGGGGAGAGGAGAAGCTATCAAAGGACTGCCCCCGGAAGAGACTGAAGCGCGAGCGGCTTCTCCATTGGCAAGAAGCTCGTGAGGGGGCCCGGCCTTCACTGATTGGTCCGTGGACCCCCAGGGGAGGGTCCGGTGGGGCGTTTTCGGCCGAGGCGGGAACCCAAATGTCGTTTTGATTGGCAAGTTTTGGGCGAAGGGGCGAGGATTACTCTGATTGGTTAAGCTGCTGAGTTTCGGCACGGGATTGGCTTGCAGAAAGACAAGGGCGGGACCAGAAGAGGAAGCTTTTACAGTCGGCTCTCAGAAACGTAGGAGGCGACACTTGCGTGAGCTGCGCCTCTGTTGGTGAGTAATCTGGGGTGCAGGCGGCCATCTACGCCGGGCGGGCGGAGCGCTTGGCGCCTGGGCTTTCCCGTGCCTCCTGTGGAGAAACTATTTTCCCGCTGCGCGAGGTTAGGGCGCCGCGGAGTTGTCTCTCCTTAACTGGCTCTTACATTCGCACTTTTTCTCCTGGGCCGCCCTTTGAGCTCGTGGGCCTATGGGAGTTGCCACTTAGGACGCTCCGCCTACTGGTTCGCGTAGAGCATCCTGGGACTCGTAGTAAACCTCTCGAGATTTCCCACGCGGGGAGGCGGAGCCGTGTCCTGCTTTCGCTTTGTTTTCCAATCTCTGCCTACTTCCCGCCTCTCCTGGCTTCCTCGTGAAAGGAAGATCCCTGAGCAGCCCGTTAAGCCCGCTTTGGGGCAAAGGATTCGAAGAAACCCAGGGCTGAAGTTAACCTTTTTCCTTCTTTCAGCTCTACCTCGGCACCTCTCTCCATGGCAGTTCCCGAGACCCGCCCCAACCACACTATTTATATCAACAACCTTAACGAGAAGATCAAGAAGGATGGTGAGTTCTCAGGATAGTCCGGATTCCAGGTTACCTCGCACTCTTCCACCTCCAGCATTCACTTCTCTTCCTTCCCTTTCTCTAGCCAGCCAAACTGTTAGGGTTAATCCTTGAGCCTTTGCCCACGCTGCATTCTGTGTCTCTAACACTCCTTCAGTTCATCTTACCAGCTTGGCCATCAACTTGGTCACTGTCCGTCCTTCAAGGCTTCAGCTCACAGGACGCCTCCAAGAAGCTTTCCCCATCCTCTTTCCCCTCGGGTGCCTGCCTCTGACTTCCCATAGGCCCTGGACATCTCCCGCTCAAGCCCTGATTGCTCTGGGCTGTTATGTGAGCATGAGGGTAAGCTCTGGGATTGTCTTGGTCACTGTGGTGTTTGTTCTCCCCGATCAGCCCACGATGGATAGGTTTTAATTTCAAAAAGAAAATGAGATCGTAGTAACGATGGCTAACACTGTTACCAGGTACTGGTATGTAAATCTCTGTTACAGTAAATTTTCAACAACAAACCTTCAGGAAGGAGCTATTACTCCTGTTTCTCAGATGAGGAGACAGGCTCAGGCATGATGTGATTTGCCCAGGGTCATGCAGCAAGGTGAAGTGGTTGAGGCCACCACTACGGAATTCTGCTTAAGACCTTGATTTTTGGGGCGCCTGGGTGGCTCAGTTGGTTAAGCGTCCGACTTCGGCTCAGGTCATGATCTCGCGGTCTGTGAGTTCAAGCCCCGCGCCGGGCTCCGTGCTGACTGCTCAGAGCCTGGAGCCTGTTTCAGATTCTGTGTCTCCCTCTCTCTGACCCTCCCCCGTTCATGCTCTGTCTCTCTCTGTCTCAAAAATAAATAAACGTTAAAAAAAAAAATTAAAAAAAAACAACTTGATTTTTGACATTATCACCTTGATTGAACCTTATTTTCTATATTTGAAAATTGAGCAAAGTCCTAATATTTTCTTTGCGTGGATGTTACGTGGATTAAATTAGCTAAACATCCAAACAGTGTTGACTTTTATGGTACCTGGCAGTTAGTATGGGCTGGATGGAACTTAGCTCTTATTATCACCTGAAGAAAATTGTTGGGAGAACCAATGGAGCTTGCTGGGATTAAGTTTTGAGGTTACCAATAAAGTTACTGTTGAAGAAAGAAAAACAAGCCACGTAAATCCCTTATATGCTCCTAGAGTATCATGCTCAGCCAGTTCTCTATGATGCTGGGAAAACACCCGATGACAGACATTCCCCGTTTTGCCTTCATGGAGCCATATTCCATTGGGAAAGACAGACCTGCTTCCAGACAGTGATACCCCAGAGTCGCCAGGGCCATGATTGGGAAGCACAACCAGAGTGATCAGGACTGGGTTTGAGCACCTAGGTAGAGGGATTTGTTCCCTTTCGTAGAAGAGGAGATGTCGTGGAAAAGCCTTCCAGGTCGAAGAAACAGTATATATGATGTGAGGGAGAAGAGTGTTCTGAACCTGGACCAACATATGATGGTGTCTAGGGGCAAAAGAGAGCCCAGGCTATTCTGGAAACTACCAAGTAGTTGTGTGTGACTGAGGCTTGGGACTCAGAACCTTCCAGTGAGCAGTGCGCTGATAGCTCATGGGATCTTGTGGGAGGATAGGCCCATAGACTTTGTTCTGAGGGCATCTGGGAGCCAGGCGAGGGACACGATGTGTGGAGGGTGAACTTGAGTGGGCAGGAGAGAAGGGAAAGAGAGAGGCCCAGAGTCCGGGGGAATGGCCGAGCCTCAGACTGGGTTCACGGGTGTGGCGGATGGAGACCAACACCAGAAATGGCGTCAGCAGAATTTTTGGCTAACTGCGCCAGAACACCTTTTACTTCCCTCTTGGCCCCACCCTCTCCTGAATTTGCTTTTCTTTCCTCACCTGGTCTTTCAGCAAGTATCTTCAGCTCGGGTGCCTTTTCTGTGAGATTTTTTTTCTTTTAACATTTTATTTTTGAGAGAGAGACCGAGCGTGAGCAGGGGAGGGGCAGAGGGAGAGGGAGACAGAATTCAAAGCGGGCTCCAGGTGCCGAGCTGCCAACACAGAGCCTGAAGCGGGGCTCAAACTCACGAACTCACAAACTGTGGGATCATGACCTGAGCTGAAGTCAGATGCTCAACCGACTGAGTCACCCAGGGGCCCCGGTATTCTATTCTGTTAGGTATGGCAGTTTGTTAGTGAGCTATGGGTTCAGATGGACTTGGGTCCTGGCCCCCATCCCAGCTCTCGAAGGCTCTTCCCGGTACCTTCGGGACACTCCTGTTGAGCCAGTGGCAAATCCTCCGAGAGCCTATTTCCACGTTATTAAAAAAGTGAGACCATTACAGTTGCTGCCTCAGGAAGCGGTTGTAAGAATTTAGTGAAGTTCTTTCCGTAAGAAGATGTTTAGTGGTATTGTTATTCATGCAACTGTTTTTGGAGAAGCGTGGGTGCTACAGCCTGCACTGAGCATGGGGATACTGCAGTAAACAGTGGAGAGGCTTGTGGCTCTTCAGGATAGCTAAACGGCAGGTTAGCCAGCGTGACGTCAGGAGGTGGGAAATGCCGTGAGGGAAAAGCAGTTAGGTACAAGGAGTGGAGAGAGCGACGGTAGGTGGCATTTATTTAGACAGGGTGGTCGGGGAAGGTCTCTGTGGTGGGAACACTTTCACTGAGACCTGGGTGACCAGAAGGAGAAAGGTCTTTACCGTGGAGGCAGCAGCCAGCGCAAAGGTCCTGAGGCCACACGTGTGTACCGGCCTGAGAAAGGGCTGTGAGGCCAGTGCGGCTAGAGATAACGGGAGAGGGGTGGAGTGTGGGGGGATGATATTGGAGATGTTGGCCAGGGCCACGTCACACAGGCCTGGGTCAAGGTGCCGGTGACAAAGAAAAGAAGGCTCCCGTGTATCGAGCATTTACCGTGTGCCCTTTGTTACGTGTGGCTCCTGTACTTTATGCGACAGCCCCAGGAGGCAGGTACCAGTACTGTCCGTGCACACAGGGGAGCGCACACAACCCATCCCAGTGATTCTTGGCTGCTGGTGGTGTTGCTGCCTCTTGGGGATTCCAGACCTGTGGCACCGTGGCCTTTGGCTGATGGTGTCCATTCTGGGCCCTTCCTGGCTCTGAAAAAGGAACTCAACCCCCAGGACAAGGTACCAAGACCTCCAGTCACCCACGGGTGCTTTCCTTCCTCCCCCTGCAGAGCTGAAGAAGTCCCTGTACGCCATCTTCTCCCAGTTTGGCCAGATCCTGGATATCCTGGTTTCCCGAAGCCTGAAGATGAGGGGCCAGGCCTTTGTCATCTTCAAGGAGGTCAGCAGCGCCACCAACGCCCTGCGCTCCATGCAGGGCTTCCCCTTCTACGACAAGCCCATGGTGAGCGCTGTGGGTGTGGAGGGTGTGCACGCACCGCGGTGCTGTGGCAGACTGGATGGGTCTGGGCCTCCCGTCTCCCGCCGTCCAGTCTCCTAAAGTCGGCAGTCCCTCTTGCTGTTTGTCAGCATTCACTGTTCTTTGTACTGGGGTGGGGGTGGAGGACACGCAGTGCCCCCAGATGGTGACCTCTTAGAAGTGTCAGGGCTGGGATGGGGGAGGTGCCCAGAGCTTGGAGAGCTTAGAGGAGGCACCTTACCCAGTCCAGGGGTTCAGGGAAGGCTTTCTGGATTTGAGGCTCCAAGGAGAAAGACTAGCTGGGGGAAGCAGGGGAGAAAGCGTTAGATAACCGAGAACATTAGGAAAGTGGGTCAAGTCTGTTTGGCTGGAGCGAAAGGGTGGGAGTGGGGGCAGAGTATGGCCTGGAGAGCAAGTCAGAAGTCAGGCCCAGGGGCCAGAGTTTGTCTTGCAAGTGGACTTGACTCTGCGGGTGGTGGGGAGCCATGGAAGGGTTTAGGGAGTTGCCTCTGGCCGTTGGGAGAATGGATTTGAGGGGGGAGGTTAGGGGAGGCTGGGTCAGCTTCCCAGGTGTGAGGGTTTGGGCCAGGACCAGGGCGGGGGTCGTGAATG